TTCTGCCGATGCTGCTGAACTTAAATCTCAATGTTCTAATGATCTTACGACCCCTGAAGTATTTGCTATAAAGGAAATTCTTGTTTTCAATTCCCCGATAAAGGATGGTTTTTGTTTCAAAAACGCTACTACTGGCCAATATTGTTATTCGGATCCAAATAGTGCTTCGATATTCAATTTCATTAGTGGTTTGAGTATTATTACTCCCACTGATATTAGTTGTACCGATTGTAACAAAGCTATTTTAAATACTTTTGTAAATTACTTTACTGCTCACCCTGAATCTCTCAACGAGTTACCACCGACGGTTAATGTAACAGCTTTTCAAACTGCTGTTGCAACAAAGTGTGGTCCTTCTTTCTTAGGTATGCTATATTGTACATAATTTTATTTTATTTTAAATTTATTAATAAGCTTATTTTTTAATTGCTATGTTTTTTTCATTATATAGATGGTTCCATTCCTACTAGTACAACTTCCACTAGTTCTAGTTCTTCTACGCCATCCGCAAAAACTAATAGCGCCTCCATGCACAATCCATCTTTTATGTTGGTCGACACTATCATCGTGACTTCATTTAGTATTTTAACTATTTATGTTATTTCATTCATTTAAATGTTGTCCCCATCTATGAATTAAATGAATTAAATTATAGTAATTATAAAGTATTAAATGTTCTAAAGTTCATAAAACTTATATTTAGCTATATAATTACGCGTTATTTATAATAAATGCGATATCCATAAATTTTTGTATCTGATGGGCTCTTAATTTATATGCAAGTGATATAACAATTATGTTGCAAATTGTTGTTTGTCTTTTTGATGAATCAATATCAAAAAAAAAAAAAAAGCAATTTGGAAATTTTTGTCTGTCTGCACACGTTTCTACATTTGCACTTTCGTGTAAAAAGATATGCGTTTGTGTAATATGAGACTGTCCAAAAGGCCCAACTAGTAGGGTTTCTCAAATATTTAATTTGATATTTGATATGATTTGACGTGATTTGAGTTACACTGCATAAAATATAAATTATTCAATTAAATACTCTAAAACAATAATAGTACCTATAGATACTATCATCGTTTTAGAGTATTTAATTAAATAATTTATATTTTATTTAGTGTAACTCAAATTGCGTATAATCGTATCAAATATCAAATCAAATATTTAAGGAACTTTACCAACTAGCTAGCTTTTTTTTTTAACTTTTATATACAGTATAAAAATTTTAAAAATTTTTTTAAAAATTTTTTAAAAAGCTATCTAATTATTAAAATATATAAAAAATATTTTTTACAAATTTTCAAATTTTGATATAACCAGGTTATAAAAACCCAAAAAAATTTTTTATATATCCTTATATTATTAAAATTTTAATTTTCAAAATTTTGTTTATAAGGTTATATAAACTTAATAAATTGGTTTTTATAATTTGGTTGAGTCAAATTTTGTAAAATTCTTAAAAAAATTTTGACTATATTTACTATTTAAATAAAGTTTTTTAAAAGTTTATAAAAATAGAGGTATAGTGATATAGCAAAGTGGTTAAGTTATCACCCCAAGTAGCAAATCAAAAGTTTGAATCTCACTAGTAACAAAAATTTGAAAATTCTGTTTATATTATAGCTAACTATATTCAGTTAATCAGTTGAGATAGAATATCTATAATTATGGTTATACTAGCAGAACTAGAAGGTCTGAAGTATTTGTACTGTTACAGTACCATAGCCTTCTTAACAGCAGTACTATAACAATAACATAGCTACAAGGATCCTTCACAGGTTTGTAGTAGTATCTAACAGGTAAATATAATTTTTTACTACAACTAGAAACTATATCCTTCTGTCTATAGCAGTTCGGGCAGACAATAGTTTATAGATAAAATATATGTTTTTATTAGAGAAAATAAAATAGGCTATCTTTAGGTTCCTATTTCTAAAGAATTCTATAATATTACAAGAGAGAATTTAGGGAAGAGGTGAGTCTGG